TGATATACAGGAACACCCGCGGTGTATAGGGCCAGCTAACGTCCGGGCCCGGGATCGCGCGGCACCTCGCCCACGCCGATTATTCACATCGCTTTGCTCATCCCCTCCGTGCGTACCTCCCACCCCGCTTTCGGAAATCCCGGTGCAGTACCCTTACTTCCGTCCCACCCCTCAGCCATCATCGCCATCGCATACAGCAGCGAACCGGAACCCGGGAAATACGGAGTCGGAACACGCACTCCGCCTACGGGCATCCCGACGTCGTCGAATTCGAACAGCGGGTGGAGCAGCCATTCTATCGCCTTCTCCGTCTCTCCGTTGCGCGCTGCGGACATCGCCAGCATGGGGAAGTCCCATCTGTGACGTGCGAACGGAACACGCTTTTCAGTGTCAATCAATGCTTCGGGAACAACAGCCACCTACCCCCAGCAGTTGCTGATGTTCCAACTCGTCCAAATTTTCTCCGCCGTCGCCTTGGCCATGGTCAAACTCACGTTCGCGGTTTGCGGCAACCATCCATACAAGCCCACCATGGCCGGGTGGTCGTTGGTGAACGTCGGCGTATCCCAAAAGTCGCTCGGGATCCCCTCGTAAACCGCGTACAGTTCGTCTTCGATCGGGAGTGGGGCCAGGTTGTCCTTCACCTCCGTCCACTCGGCCGGCACCGCTTCTCCCATTCTTTCCATCCAAGTGCTCGCGTGGTCTAGACCGAAACGCCAGTACGCCAACTCAAATGCCGGGTTGCGCGTCACGTTCGGGCTCGTGTCCTCACTCACGACGTACATCGGTGGGCCTAGATCGAAGAAGCCGGTGCTCGCGTTCCGGTGGGCATAGACCGCCATCCAATCCGCCGTCGCATGCACCACGTCGTGCCACTTCTCCAGCGTCGCCATCGACCGGGTGGCCCGATACTCGTACTCGGCGAATACGAGCGGGTGCGGCTGTTCCCAGATCAGGAGCTCGTTGATCTCCCCCGGGGCTGACCGCCCAGCTGGATCGGTCATTTTGGACCAGCGCGCTCCAGTGGAATAGCCTTGCTGGACTTGAGCGCGTTGGATCGCGGTGGGGAGGAACCGGGAGTAGACGCTGCTAGCATGAGGGGAAAGATGGGGCGGGTGCGCATGTACATAGATATACTGAAATATATTTCGTTTGCGAGGGAAACATCGACTGTGCGAGTGTGTTCGCGTGCGTGGTGGCTGTGCGGAACTCTGGCGAGCCGGCAGTGGGTGTTGGCGGCGGGGACGGACTCGGACGGTGCGCGCGGCTGGATCTCGCTTGGGCGAGCATCTCGGGGAGCGTGCCGGATCCCGGCGAGGGAGGCATGTACTGCTAGGGAAATAACTACGGACTCTGCGTGGAGAGTGGGTGGCAGTTGGCGCTGGGGAGGTCCAGAGGGTGCACTAGGGGAGAGGGGACTCTGTTCACGCATTTTGGACGGCAGGAAAGTCACGGAAATCGCATTACGGGCTACTGATAATACTACGACCCCGAACGCGCACAAACGCGCCGTAAAGACCCACCCGCCCCCGCTCAGGACACTTCGCGCACTCGGACGGACGCGGGCGCCTACTCCGACACTGCCTGAGTCTGCAGAGTCCCGCACCACTGCTTTTTCCTCAGTCTGTTTGCTCGCCCACACTCTGCCCGTTTTCCAGGGTCCTCCGCACTGGAATCCGTTGTATGGAAGTCAATCCGGAGTCACACAAGACGAGCACGAAGTTCCCTGCGTGTGCGCGACTGGAGCGCGCGCGGGGTTCGTTCCGCATGCCCAGTACATGGGGGTGATCGCGGCGCCAAGGACATCGTGCCGCCGTCGCGACTCCGACGCGCTCGGGACGTCGAGCAGATCTCTTGCACGCTACGAAGCCGTTCTGGATGTCGGAGTGTATCTGGCGAGGCGCGGCGCGGCGCGTTCCTGCTCTCGCGTGCGGCCTACAAATACTGGAAAATTAGTTGGACGCCGGTATTAGCGGGCGAGGAAGCGGTACATACCACATTTACTTCGAACGCGACCTCTCGAGTGATGCGCGCGGAACATACGGCATACAGCCGCGGGCGCAGATTGTGCTCCGGAGGCAGCACCGACACGCCGCGTGCGGTCATACGAGCTGCCGGCCGGAACAATCGCGTGGGAGGGTGTCGAGCTCCGAGTCGGTGGAGGCGTCTGAATCGGTTGGAACATAGTTGACGGCGGCGAGCTGCGCAGACATTGACATTAGCGTAAGAGTACCGCGCGGGCGAATCCGACTCGCCTATGCCACGGCGCTCCGAGTCCCGTAGCCGTGCACGGGACACTCGTGCTCGCCCGAGAGTCTGCCAGCAGCGGAAGGACGAAGACGTCCGCACAAAGGGCCCAGAGAGACCTAGAATGTCCTTTTTGCTCGTCCCAGACGAGACGAGCGTGCACAAGGAACCCGTTCGCGCAAAGGAACTCTGCTCGCCCGCGGCTAGAGGACTTCGCGGATACGGGCGCTTATTCCGACGCAATGCGAAATACGCAAGTCGTGCGCCGACGTGGCATGGCTCTTCTCCGCCCCACGTCCGCCGTTCCTGCTCGCCCATTTCTCTCGTTTGACTGCCCTCTGTCCTGTTCTCAAACCCGAGAACACAATCTGCAAGGCCTGCTCGGTTAGCGGAAAGGCCAAATCTGCAAAAATAAGTCGGTACGTACTCTGGCTCGTTCGTTCTTGTGCGCGAGCCGCATGAGAGTTCTCCTCCCACGGAAATGCCCCTGAACGCGAGATACGGGTTCACATCCATTCTCTGCCATCCAGAATGGGACAGCGGGTGGGCAGGCATCGAAGGAGTCGTCTGGCCGCTTCAAGACGGCCAGACGCGGTACTGTAGAGACAATTCGAGGTTAGCAAGAACGTCGCTAAACGCAAACGGCGGCCAGACGCACCGCGAGACAACTTCGCCTTCCGGAGGTCCGTGGGCGCCTATTTGGACGTAGCTCGAAACTTCACAGTCCCGCGCCGCCGTTCCTCTTATCTCCTCGCTGACACGGGCCGGTGGGGTATGTCCGCGTTGTAGAGCGCACTCCGGAGATGTTGGCGCCTCCTCTGCAGCCCTGCGAGGGCCATGTCGTGTGCCGCCGCCCGGCTCGAGCGCGTGGGCAATTAGAGAAGGTTAGACTGTGCAAACACAGCGGTCGGTGGATGATTACACATCAAAGACGCAGCTCACCTATTTGCGCACTCGGGAAGCTCGTGGTCGTCTGATACGCCGGCTGCGACGAGTACTGCGCGCTGAAGGACAGCGCAGGGAGACGCCTGCGTACAGGGTGCAAAAGTCTCCCTGGGCAGCGCGCGATCCAGTAGTCGACGTGCGGAGACCATTACGGGGCTGCACAAGGGGTTATACGAGCGCAGAGGAGCTTTGCCCGCCGATGAAACGACTTCGCAGAGTCGCGGGTACGGGCGCCTATTATGACGCTGCCCGAAATTGCGAAGTCTTGTGTCGACGCGCCGCGACTTTACTCTGCTCCACCTCCTCTGCATGCGCCCGCGTCGCATTTCTTGTCTTCTGGCTCAATTATTCCGGCATCGGCGCTGAATGCATGCTCTTCAAGGCCAGGCTGGTCAGCGGGGACGTCAAGCCTGCAAAAAGAGAACGGTGCGTACTCCGGATGGTTCGGGTGCACGCTCGTCTCCAGGTAGCATGACACGTGGCGACGCGCGCCCAGAATGCGAACTGCGTGCCCGCATTCGTGCATCCGAGGCGGGTGGCTGCACCGCTAGAGTGTTTGCCGGCATCCAGGGAGTTTCCCTGCTTCGTTACGGCCGAGATAATACTAAAAAGAAGGTCATATGTGAGTGAAACCCTTCGCAGACGCAAACAGCGGCCACACGCACCGCGACGCGACTTCGCGCTTCCAGAGGTAAGCGGGCGCTTATTTGGACGTAGCTCGAAACTGGCAAGTCTCGCGCCGCTGTCCTTTCACTGCTACTAGTCGCTTGCTGGGGCTCGGTCTGGAATCCGTATTACGCCGCAATCCTGGGCCGCGAGTGAGAAACGAGGTGGTCACCCGCACGCGAGCTGCAATGCCCAATGCAAAGTCGAGATAAGTCAGTCATCGGAGGGATTCAGAGGTAAGAGGGAGAACGGTACATACCAAGTCTGTTTGATGCCCGCGGAACAGTCAAAAAGCCCACCGAGGTACGTCCTGGTACGTCCCACACGAAGAAGGCGTGCTCGTGTCCATCGTGGGCGCTCTGGGTACTGGTGGGACCTGAGACTTCGTTTGCACCGCGAGAATGCGGGCGTGAATCTGCCACAAGCGGCTGCGAGTCTACGCGAGGTATAGTAGACGAGCACAGAGGCTGGCTCGCCGAGTGGGAACGGCCGTGAACAAGGCCAGGAAGAGAGAAACAGTGCCAGACCGCCGCGGACGCACTTCGCGAGATTGGCGCTTATCTGAGCGCCCGCGCGATCGAGCAGCCACTCCCGCGCGATCTCTTCGTTCTGCTCCGCGACTCTTCTTCAGTATTCCACTCCGTCCTCGCGCTGCACATATCTGCGGATTGCTGCAACGATGACGAAAGACGTCTACGGCGGCATACAAATCAACTAAGCACTCGTGCGCGTGCACAACAATCACAGTACGTACCAAGTCATCAAACTCGTCTACGAGACGCCGACATGTCCGCCCACCTCGCGCCCTCAATTGCTAGGCGCAGACCAGCTACAGCGCCTCCGCGATGGACGCAAACGACTCACACGCCGCCGGGAAAGTGGTATTTCTCCTCGAAAAGGCCTCGCATCGACGCCACAGGGACGAGTCGCAGGCGCGAGACCGACAAGGTGAGCGGTGTGGGTTTTCGTGTTATGACACAGACTTGGGCGCGTCCGCTGCCGGCGGTGTTTGCTGCCGGCGGACACCTCCGGCACGGGCACGAGGAGCGGATCACGCGTGTACGAGTGGTCTATGGATCGTTGTATCAGTATACAGTTTGCCACACACGGGCAGTAAGGGGTGTACCTTCAGATCGACCACAAAGCGCGCCGTAGACATACACGGCGCTGTCCAGCTGCTAGAGGCGTGTACTGTGGCAGATGGATGGCTCGAGACGTGTCGGGAGGGCATGTCCCGGGCTTGTTTGCCGTACCGTACCATCCAGCGACATGTGGTACGCTGAGGAGAGTGTCCTCTACGGCGGGCGCAGACAGCATGCAGCGTGCTACCTCCCTGTCATCCCCTGTCCTCTGTGCAGTGCGTTCGGGCCTCCTCGACGACCTGTCAAACCGTTGGCGGCTGCGCTGAGGACGGGAGTACAGTGCTGCTGGATGAGCAACAACACTGAAGTTATGTTTACCTCGTCGCACTCCCGGATGCCCTGGCTGGTAAGTTGCTGCGTGCAACACCCCACGGCACAGCCGACATGGCGGTTCTCTGCGCGGACATATATTGTGTGAGTACTGCTGTCCTGTCCGGAATGCAGGCCCACGTACTCACCTTGCTTGCCTCGCGCTCTGAATTCGAGTTGCCGTCTTGCGGCCGACTCGGATAGGGTGTGTCCAGGGATCGGATGAGTGTGCAGAGGATGGGAGGACGATGCAGGGACACTAGCGGTGGAGGTAGGGAAGAGAGGGGAAGGAAGGGAGGATGCACACGGGCGAGATCGCAGGACGCTGCGAGGGCAGGTCGGTAAGTTGAATGAGGCATGGCGGACATGGGTCCGGCCCTGGCCCATGTGGTGCGGACGGAGCGGGCAACTCGGTTGCGAAGATCTCGAACTGTGCCGCGTGTGGAGCCGTGCGAGCGTTGTGAAGCAGCGGGTGTTTCGGGGGTTGTCTGGTTTGATGCTCGCCTGTACATAGTTGTATCGCTTTGTATGCTGCACCAATAGGATTTCTGGGTTCGTAGATATGGCGTGATCGGGCATCTGGTTGCCCAGGGAGTGTCTTCAATTTTTGGGCTTTTACGTTCTGATGCACACAAATTTGACCATGGCTCTGGGCCCACGGCCATGGTAGTCACACAGATGCACTCCGGCAAGCTACTCAGGGCCCGCCTGCATCTCCACACGCTCTC